GGAGGCGAGCGGGCACCATCCCTGGCTGCAGCACCGCTGGGGAGGGGGCTGCCACCTCGGGCCACTGAAAAAAGCAAATTTGAGCCGTTTTAGGAATTTTTATTGTAATCCCGCTGGCTGAACTCCGGCCCAAAACCGCCAGCGAAGGCAAATCGCCACACGGCGTTTCTTTCCGCTCACCTCGTATCAGCTCCCTTCCTTGTCGAAAAAAAAACCAACCCTAAATCTGATTTTTTCACCCCAGGATGCAGGAGGGGTGCTGGTCCGGGGCAGGGTGTCCCTGTGGTCATCCCCCTCCTCCGCCTGCAAAAGCTGGGCCCTGCCCTGGCACCTGGAGCAGGGTTCGGCAGCAGCAGAGGCGACGTCCCCGCGCGGGGCCCGTGGGACGGGTGGCACCTGGACACCCAGGGGGATTTTCAGCCCCCGGCATCCCCGGGAGGAGCGGCAGCCCCTGCGCCCCCGCTGCTCTCCCTGCCCGGAGGTGGGTGACGTCCCATCGCACGGTGACGGCTCCGTCCCACACCCACCCTGCCCGGTACCAGCAAGGAAACCGATGCCAACCAGCTCAGGGGATCTGAGAAATGAGCAAACAGCGCCGACAAAACCTAAAAAAGTCTGGGTGGGGATGTGGGTTGTGGCCAAGGGGAAGGCGGAGGCATCCGTCACTCTCGCGCATCGCTCCGGCGTTCATCCCGAAACGAAAGATGCTGCGGTTGGAAAAATCATCCAGCTGTCAAAGCAGCAGAGCCGTTTGCCGGGGCCTTTTAATAGCCTCGCCTCGTTATCTCTTGCAATCAAGGAGAAACTCATGTTTGATGAGCACGCGGCCTTCGGGAGGCGAGGAAGGAGCCCGGGGAACGGATGCGGGAGCCGGAGGGTGTTCAATGGCACGGCGGTGACGCCGGGCTCGCTCGCCACGGACCAAATGCCCCGGTATTTTCAGAAGGGAACACCAAAACCTGGTGCAAAGAGCCCCCCGCAACGCCCCCGGCCGGTGGGGTTTTATTGATTAATTCATATATTTATGAGCCGGTTGGGTTGGAGGCTGGGCGCTGGCCGGGAGGGAGCAGTTGAGGCTGGGATACGGCGGGGGCTGGGGGCCGGGGGGGGGAGGGGAGGAGGGGGGGGCGGCGGGCCCCCCCGCGC